GTGTGGCTCCCAGATCAAGTGTCTTTAGTCACAGATGCCTGAGATGCCAAGAAGTCAAGGGTGGCTGTGGGCATGGGCACTCAGGGATGGGCTCCCCATTGCTGTCACCCTTTGCACATGAATCCAACAGAATGACCAGGAGCTTTTGCAGTACCATCCCACAGGCAAGGGCTAGGTCACACTGACATACCAGAAATCCTCTGCTTACCTCAATAACTTCCTTTCTGCATCGTTTTGATCTTTTTCTCTGGTGTGCTGTATTTCTCAGAAGCTTGTGACAAAAAGGCAGCTTCTTATTTAAAGATATTGAAGTAAATTCTCATTTGTTCCAGAAAGATTTTTTTAATAAATCAATATTTTATTGTTTAAAAGGAAATTCTTTATATTATAAGCTATGTACATCACTAAATTAAATTCTGTACAAAAAATAATTAAACATCACCAATTAACATTGTTGCAAGTGAAATGGATGTTATTGGTGACACAACTGAAAATCTGGCCAGAGGACATTGGGTGACCTCAAAAATTAGGAAGTCCTCATTTAATTAGGCTATTTTTTTTAGTTCTTTCCTGCATATATGCTGAACAGTTAGCTGTGGCTTCTTCAGACATTGGGACAAGAGATCCTGGCTTTGGTTTGCTAGGATTGCTTTTCCACAGTATCAAAATATCTGAGCTTTAACCTTATTGTCAAATAAGGTCAAGCAGCTGAGCTGTAACTAGCTTTCTCACTTTGATGGTAGAGAGGATCTAGAGTCCTCCCTAAACAAGCATGTGTTAGGCTGATAGATCAGCTCAGTATCCAGCTTTCCAAACCCAGATTCTTCCTGTTCATACTGCAATGTTAACTATAAAAAATTTTAGATCACACTTGGAATCCTTCTCCAATCAAATTTCAAATACTTATAAAATGGTGTCCCACTGAGATAATTTATTTCCCCCAAAGGAAGCCACCTCTCACGTTTCCGCTCACCTTCAAAACCAACTTGTTTACGAACTAAGAAGTTGGACAGATTACAAGAAAACCAGTTCTAACACTGACTTCTGCTTATGTTACTCAGAGGCAACAGATGATTTGCACTACAAAACCTGGCCTTCCATCTCTTTTTTATTCCTCTAGTAGATAGGTATGACAGCAATTCTTCTTTACGCTACTGCCGTATTTCTATTGGGAACTTGCTACTGATGTTTATGAAAATGTCAAATGGTCTCCTTTAGCTAATTAATAATGTCATTAGCTAAACTAGCTCTCAAGGACTGAGATGACTACATAGAAAGTCCCTCAACTCGAGTGGTATTTGCCTTGACAAGGGGGATGCAGATAAGGCAGAGTAAAGGTCACAACTTTTTCTCCTCGGTGTTCGTTTCCAAGCAACCCAGTCAGTCAGCCTGTGGTTACAGCACACTGGGTCGACTCTGTTTTGCTTTCTTGTCTCCAAATGTAAGGCACTGAAGGTGATAGGCCCTCTGGGAATGAGCCACCATACTCTGCATCAGCTGGCTGAAGAAGCTTCTGCTCTATGGGCAGGAGGCTTGGAAGTAGACCAACAGGAGAAACCACTAATAAAAGAGTTGTTTGGAGTCAGAGACTTCAAGCTAGCTCTTGCAGAGAGTAAAAACTAAATGTAATTAAAAGAACCCCAACAACTGTCCAAGTTTGCATGTGGGCACGTGTGAGAGTGAGCATCTTGAGACTGACAAGAATGGACCAACCCCTGGTTCTGTGCAGTGCTCATGCTGAAGCAAAACATAGTCCATCTGACTTAGGACAAGTTAGCAAGTTAAGGAACAGCTGAACAGCCCAGTTGGGGATGTGTGAATACTAGGATGGTTTTCACAGTCAGTAACCAATATAAATTACATACCAGAACTTACCAAATGCTGATGCAGGGAGCTTGCAGAGATGACACATCAGCAGCAAAACAAGACTAATGACTGTGAGTGATCTGATGGAGATTTACACAAAATTCTTACTGTGGATCTCTGCCTTTTCTATACCGGTTATAAAGGCTTTTTCAACCAGGTGAGAAACAAGAAACCTGATGCAGCTAAGGGGCAGGAGTACTCAAGATGCACTCTGTAGGCACAGGAGGCACAGAATACAAACCCATACCAGAAAAACTAAGATTTTGCAAGGATTCTCAGGAGTTCAGACAAACACATTACTGGGATCATTCTTCACAGGCAGCATCAGGGCATCTGTTTCAGACCGGCACATCAGTAAACAGGTTACAGAATATTACACTAAAATGAGCAGTAACACAAAGCCAGGAACAAGTATTTGTGCACAATTTTCAGCTGTGTCCAAGGATAAAATAGTTTTATTGTGATGTACAATTTCTCTTATGAAACATGACTATATAATTGGAGGTAGCTGATTTCTTGTCCAGTTCAGGAGAGAGCTGGGTAACACACTGACCAAGAAACTTGCTGTCTTTAATGGTCAAATTGGCAAGAACTGTAATGCAGACCCAAGAGATGAACACACTGGGAAGGAATCAACAAAGTTTCAGTAAACAGAAGTAATTCTTCATAAATTCATTAGTTTTTTGAAGTACTCAACAACCCTGAGGACACAGGAAATCCAGCTGATATAATAGCTTAGTTTAACTTCAGAAGAAATTTTGCCACATGCCTTTGAAAGGCTCTTAGAGGATATAATCTAAAGGGAAGGTCCTTGCATGGATAAGCAATTAAAAGACAGACCAAACAAGGTAAGGCAGAAATAGTTGTTTTTTATAATGGAAAAGATTATTAAAGTTTAAGCAGTTCAATATATTTCTAAATTATGTGGCAGGCTACATTTTGTGATGCTACCAAGGATACTAAAAAGACTGAAGACTTGCAGAAGGACCCCATACCATTGAGTTCCAGGGCAAAAAAACCCCAGCAGATAAAATTCAATAGTGATAAATGAAAAATAAGGCACAAGGAGAAAACCCAGTCCTAACAACATTTATAATGATGGGCTCTGAGCTTATTGGTACCATTCACAAATGATATTTTTATACTAGGCCAAAGAATATTTGGCACAATGCTAAGCATCAGTCTAAAAAATCACATTGAATAGTTAGAATTACTTAAGAAAGAAAGAAAAGGGAATGCATTATTCCACTGTATGCCCCTGTGGTGTGCCAGTATCTCAGCAAGTACTTTAAGCTACACTGTGTTATCCTGTGCCCATTTCATAAAGGTTACCGTGAAATTAGAAAATATGCAAAGCTATTAACAAGGATAATTGAAAGTATGGACCAGTGTGGAATGATTAAATAGTTTAGGACAGTCTTGGCCGAAAAAAGAATGGCTGAGGACAGAATATGACTTATCTATAAAACTACAGTGGCAAGGAGAGGGTGAATTGGTTTTGAATCCAGTATGATAATTGACGGCAGAAGCAGCAAGAGAAAACAAACAAGAGAATTTGCTTGACATTCCAAACAATGCATCTCCTTTGACAGTGCATAGCTAAACTGCCAAATTTAATGCAGGATTTTGTGGGAGGTATGATTTTATGATAGTTTGAAAAGTGACCAGGAGAAGTAATTGAAAGAGAAAAATATACTGAAGGCTATTAAATATAAAGTCCACATAACTATTAAATATAAAGTCCCTGGGAGTCCACAAACCCCAGTGTAGTGGAGTCTTGGCAGAACTCAGGGGAAGGACCACTACACACCCATCCTTCTTTATACTTCCCCCTAACAAACTAAATTGTCTGACTTCCCACCTGTGTTCTGTGCACTGAGGAAGGGGACAGAAAGGCCTACTCAAACTGGTCACAAACAAACATTACTGTTGTAATGCAATGAAGACTAAAATGCTCTATTAGAAAGAGTGCAGACTGTGCTAACACAGCATCTTAGCAAGAGCCAGGGTGACCTGCTGGGGTCACATTAGGTATCTGAACTGCATGCAGGGCTTATTTTCTTCTGTGATGCCAGTGGCTATTGAAATCTATGAACATATACTAGGAGGGAGACAATTTCTTCACTGCATACCTTGTGCAACCATTCTTGAAATACCACATGCACAATTTAAAAAACTTATGTTAATTAAACTGGAAAGTTTTAATTGCACCTACAGAGAACCACAAAGCGGTTTGAGATGTTGTATGTTTCACAGTTCTGTGTCTTAATTGTTCTGGGGAACAGTATGAAGTGTCTCAACTCCCTCTGGCACTGACCCACAGGCCACCCATATGTATTGTCACAGCTGCAACAGTGACAATACAGATGGGAAAAGTCAGTGTCAATGCAGCCTGAGAATGGTAACTGTACTAACTGTGTATCTACATGTTCTTGGCTTGTTTCAATAAGCAAATTCACTGCATCCTCTGACAGATAAACTAATCAGACCCAGGCCACTGCTGTACTGCTGTCCATAGTCACTCTTCCTCGTAGTAATTACTGGCTTTGAAATTCCATCAGGGACAATAATAACAACTTTGAGGAAGGTTGTTAACTATCCTCAAGTACAAAACCACTTTTTGAAAACAGTAACAGTCAAACTGCTCAAATAAGGATTTCCAATAAGTTTTCTTAGTTCAGTTGGTCTCCTTGGGGGTAAATGATTCAGTTGTATAAATGTGAAAATTACTCGTCCTGCTTTTAGGACCTGTATGCGTTAAGAGGAAAATACTATTTATCTTGGTAATACAGAGTTAAGACTGCTAAACACTAAGTCATCATTAGAACTGACTACTCATTTCTAATAAACCATGATGAGGCAAACCAGACACAGGCAAAGGAACTTCACGAGTACCCTCAAATATGTAATTTGAGCTTGGGAGACTTGGCTGATATATACTCTTATATGAAAACAGACTTTATCTAACTATTAGAATATGAGGATGAGCTCACAAAGCTGGTACTGAGACCACACTACACATACTTTCTCCTGAGCTTGACTACACTTAAATCACAGAGGTCACATCAAATGACACAAGGCCCATCAGATAAAAGAGCTGGTTTATTACAATTCTGTCCTTCATTTCTTCATAGGAAGAACCTGCTTATCTCAAAGACAGTACAATGGATTTACATATTAAGTGGCTTAAGCAAGAATATATGAAAACTCAGAGGAACTGGAAAGAAGTGGATAACAAAATGAATGTGACAATAGAAATACGGAGAAAGATGATCAGCAATAAGGCACCTTTAAAAGATATTCTTAGGGTATTTCCTTTCTTAAGGTGCCCTTATCAGGTAAAAGAGCTATTTTTATTAATGACATAGAATTCTGTCTTATAGATGTGATAGAACTGTAGGCATGTTATTTTACTGGATGCTTCCAGCGAAGTATCCATTGGCATTATTCTTTTTAATCTAACTCAAATTTTTACAGCTAATCCCTCTTTGAAAGGTTCACCAGTGTTAAATGTGCCACACACACCACCACTGGGTTACTTGAAGTATTTTGGTGTTACTTGATGTATTTCTTCCCTGCTTTGAAAAGAAATGAAAACCATCCTCCAGTTTATAACCTTTTTAAAATGAGCTGGTTTTATCCTGTCATTCAAAGTGCATGCATTGTTTACAGTTTTGGTTTTCAGTTTTGCAATACCACATATTTGTTTTTCTTTTAGCTTTTTAGGGAGTTCCAGCTTCTCACACACATGGACATTTATAAGAAAACAGTTGGGATTTTGGAGATTTATTCAGAAAATATATTGTCTTTGTATGTTGTGAGGAATAATCCAATTAACATTATGCTACAAGAAAACCTGAAGCAGCACACAGAGGAAGATGTTCTGAAATGTCAGTACAAATCTCCTATGCTCTGAATACCAGAGTTTTGTTGTAGCTAATTGTTCTTACTTATGCAACTAAACTACTTTCAATTTTACTGCAAAATCATTTTAAAAATGTTACGGTTTCTTTGAAAATATATAGCGATGGGGAAGCATTAACAATAAAAACTAGTAAATTAGTAAAAAAATTAAGTCAGTCAAGTACTGAAATGTTTTTTTTTCTATTGAATAAACGACTATAGGCTTGATAAAGTTAGTAACTCCCTTAAAGCAAGTATTGCTAGATGAGCAGATATGTATTTCTAGATATGTAAGAGTGCTTATTATTTTCTAAAAAAACCCACAGAAAACTAATTTTCTGCTCTAGAAATAGTCCCATAAAAAAGGACACAATTTCCTTTAGAAAGCAAGGTATTGTTTCTATGGTTAAAACCTTTATTCCAGTGAAATTAAAGTAGTAGTTCCCACTAGCAATTTCAGGTACCTCATCTCTGCAGAGACACATTGCAGGAAAAGGAGCATAGACTGGTACCTCTGGTGAGCAGGTACCAGAATCATCCATGGAGGTTTCTGTACCTCAAAGTGTTTGGCTCCCTGGCTGCGGGGGAGCAAGTGCCTGCTGTCACTCAACTTCCTTCAGTCTGAGAAGTCTGGAAAGCTGCAAGGACAAAACCTTTGAAGAATTTACTCAGAATGGTTATTCTTTTCCAGCTGTTGCTGCCTATGCCCAAGCTTAGCTCTTTTGATAAGTGCTCCTTAGACTCATTTTCTATTGAACAGGTCTAATGCCACAATGTCAAATCAAAGGTCACACGATATGACATATATTTCCTATACCAGTTTCACTCCATTTATTGCCATGTCATTTCTTAAGGAAGCAAGCAGCATAGGTTGAAATACTGGGGCTTTCTTTTGTTAAGCTTAAAAACACAAATACTCGATAGCTCATTATAGATTAAGAAGTATCAAGGAATAGATTAATCCAGAAAGCCTTTATGGACTTTTTACTCATAGCTTTGGCCTTAGAAAATGATGGAAATTGTAAATAATTTCCCCCTTTCTTATACAGTATGTGCACAGAGACTTTAACTCATACCTTATTAAAGTCCCAATGCCTTCACTTTTCTGCTTTTCCTCTCACAACCAGCTTGACCTGGCACCTAGATAATAAATGCTGGACAAAGTAAGTTCAGTGAAAGACACAACACCAGAAGCTTGAGCTGCAAAAAAGATGTTACAGTCAATAACAGCTGAACCAGAGGGATAGCAGGTCCCAGGTGGTTCTGCAGCACCAGCTTGTACTGCAGCCTTCAAAGCGGAGTCCTTTGGCAACAGGACTCCCCAGAGACATCCATTTTCATGAAGGGAGAGGTGTTTCGGGACGGGTGGTGGGGGCAGGAGGACTGCTCAGCTCACAGACTCCACTGGAAGCAAACCAAAGGTCAACTTACTGTGAGAAACTGAATTGTAATATTGAGCAGCAGAGTTCCACGAGTGATTTGAACACTAATGTCCATTACCAGCTGAGGCACCCAGATATTCACTGTGGTACAAACTACTCTTCCAAATGGATTGAACAACAGCTCTGCTGCTGAGCTGTTAACTATTACATAGGCTGCAATCTGTTTTACCAGGATGATACTGCAGTGCCAGAATGTTTTCATTTGTAATTTAGTAGAAATCCTTGCCTTTTGACAGATATGAAAATGACTGCTGCATGTTTGCTCCTGCCAGATGTCTTTGGAGATGATTCCAGTCTGTTTGCTGCAGTAAATGAGGAGGTAGGACACAGAGCACCAGCAGTCTTGGTCTCTTTCCTTTCTATCAGCTCCCTGGGCTCATCACCTAGCCTTTTGATGGCTCAACTTAGTTCCTGGAAAAAGGTGCCATTAGCCTGTTTCTTGAGTAGAAGACAAATAGTCATAGAAATACTAGCTAAATTCAAAGCAGGTTTATTTAATTCTCTGACCTGTTCATTTTAGCGATGCTGAGGCATCACTTGAAATGCCCTTTTTTGAATTTAGGTAAAGGCAGTGACACCAGTGTTGGAAGTAAAGAATCCCTTCAATGTGAATTCATGCGAGTTTGCACTGTATGTGGAAAGACAAGAGCTGGCCCAGCTCGATGACTGCACTATGGCCCTGGCGGCGCTGGTAGCTGCATTCCATGTATTCAACATCCCATGCCCAAAGAGGATCCACAGGACGCTGAAATTCCTGGAGTCCCTGGTCTTTGAGGTGAGGAACCCAGCATCCCTGCCCATCCAGATAAAGACAGGGCTGGAGGCGTGCAAGTATCCACTATCTGATGGTGTACACAGCAGTCCTCTCGGGAACATATGATATTTTGTCAAAGTAAATGCCTTTGGTGTGAAGATAAATCAGTGCCATTATTTCTAGTGGAAGTGTATGTAAATTTAAAACAGTTATGTTTAACAATGTCCTTTTTTTTATTGTACTGGCTACTTTAAAAATATAAAAACTTAAGCAGTTTTGTTATTTAAAATGTAGATTTTAGAGAAGTCTAGAGATAATAAAATTTTCTAGATTACTTCATGTGTCATGTATTATTTTTCTATATGGAGCATTTGACAAATTCAGATAATATTTTGACTGTCAAGAAATAAATTATACATATTGTGAGCCTTTGTGAGCACATCACTGCTTCAGATGCTAATACAGTTAATGTTTTGAGTGGCACAAATTAAAGACTACCATCACTTCATAATACTATGATCAGTGAGAGCCTAATATAATAATTTTTGTGATTTAAAATGGTTGGCCTGACTTGTAATTTGCAGAATGAATTTTCACTACTTTGTCCTTGCGTGAAACATTATTTTCTTTTGTTTTAACATTAATCCTGAATTTACTAAACAGGTTTCTTAGATGAGCTCTTAAAGTAGCAAGAATGACTTATCTGGGATGCTGCCATGTGCATTTGTAGCCACAGCTTTGGTGCTGGAGAGAGAATGCCTCATTTTCTTTCTGAATTTGTTCCCCAGAACACATCAGTCTTCTCCATATGATGACTCTTCTCTCTGCCCACACAGAGCAGAGGCCCTCTCCTCTCTTCTTTCACAGCCTCCTCTTTTTCCTAACACGCTCCTCTTGTGCATGTCTGGAAATCCCAGGGGATAGCTGTGCCTGGCAGTGCACAGCTTTGGACAAGCGCCTAGCTTGACAGTAGCAGCAGCCAGCAGACATGACCCACTGCATTAATTAGAAATAAAAAATGGCTTTTTATTAAAAGCACACATTCTATTAGAGACCAATCTCCAACCAGTTCTAAAAATGTCAGTGCAGGCAAAGCAGCACTAGTCAGAACAATTCTTTAAACACTCAAATACAGCTTGGAAGACTACAGAAGCTTTGTTAAAGCTTGGTTGTGCAGGGGCGACTTCGAGATAGAGATAACAGTGGGAGATCTTCCACTATGAGAGGAGATGGCTCCATTTAATTGCCAAACTCTCTTGCTAAAGTCTCAGCATTTTTCACATGGCTCCCATGGAAATCAGGGGACAACTTTTAGCAGTGTAATGGCTGGGCTACCTCCAATCCAACACACAAAACAATATCAACTGCCATTTTAAAGATTTAGTAAGTCTCCTGAGTGTTTTTGGTTTTTAAGTGAATTTGTTGGATGCAGTTTTTGTAACAGAGGTGGCTACACCCAGCTACCTCATCACATAGGAAGGATACAAAAGTAAGGATTATATATGCCCTCACTCTTGTACATGACAGCTGTATGAATAAAAAATTGGGCTCTGTATCATTTAAGTGAGCTTTAGTCTACATCTTGTAAACACTGTTAATTCAAACCCATTTCTTAAACCACAGTACTTTGTAAGTAGGTGTATATAAAAATTCAGGGAGCTGCTAACATCCCTGAGTAATCTCTGCTGAGCTGCAAATCTCCTCATTGGTTATCACTGCAGGCTACACAGAAGGTATAGGCAAATAATCTACATGAAAGCACAGAATGAAAGAAAACAGAAGAATTTGACATTTTAGTGATCTGCTTGCGCAACTTCAACTGCTGCCGGTGACAAAGTCCAGGTCTATAAATGGCATTCTGACTGTGATGGCAAGGGGCCTGTAAGCCTTTGGAGTAAATGCCAAGGGAGAGGTCAAACAGCAGTAGCCAAGCTGCTCTTTAAAACTCAGGGCCACATTGAGCTACAGTGAGGAATTACTCCACAACACCCTCAGGAACTGCTGGGGTTCATCATCTGGCAATCCTGGGCACACACAAAGGTAACAGACGGCTCCAGTTCAGGTTTTATTGGTATTGTAGTACAATAAGAGTGCAATTTGAATGTACAAATATTCAACAAAATGTAAAAATATTATTTATGCAATGCTATGGAAGGAAATTAACAGAGCAATGCAACTTACTTCATACTGACCCTGTTTCACCTCGTATTATGGCAGGTACCAGTCACCTACACGATCTGGAAGAGGCACAGAGAGTTCTTGAAAACTTAAGAATTCCAGCCAAAGAACAGCCTAGCAAAATCTGTGGGAAGATGTAAAATTCTCCCAGCTCTGTGCAACGGAAATGCTCTGTTTGTTCCCAGCTCTAAAGGCTGAGCAACTGCCCACTGCAGTGCTAAAAAGAGGGCTGCCAAAAAGCTTGATCCAACTCTTCTGTATTTTCTTGCAAAAGCAACATTCTGGAACAATCCTCAGTATACAGGTAGCTAGGCTTTCTCCCATATAAAGTGCATCTGGTTTACATCTTATGTATATATACCAAGTGCAACGACTTTCCCTGACATATATAATAATCCTCCAAGAAAGGAGCTTGCCTCACCCAAGTACCTGCTGGTGACATCTGCAGCCTGCTGATGACCCAGTGAAATGCATGTATTTTACACCCAGGATGTGCTGGCGTACTAAAGGCATTTAAGCATCCTTTTCCTTGAGCTTTGTCTTTCCCCATTTGTCTTATTCATTTACAAATCAGACTTTTCAGCTAGGAAGTGGTGAGTGAAAAAATTCACCCACCACTGGGAAAACAAACTTACGTTGAATATGAAGCCCAAGTAGCATGGTTTTTCTCCTCTATTGTGGTAACTATACTGGAGACTGAGAAGTGTAGACAAGATTAAATGTAATTTCTGTTTTGCTGATCTCCTTGTCTCAAAATCCACCTATTTTCACTCATGTGCTGAAGGTCTGTAGCAGGCTCCCATGTAAAAGGCTGGGACTCTACTGTGCAGCATAAACAAAAAGTCTTCTGTGAAGTCAAACTTTATTTTTCAGTTGCAGCCTTCTCTATACTGGTCTTTTGATAAAATACATTAAAGATGCTGGTGGCAAAACTCACATAACATTTTTGTAATCGTGCAAAAGTAAAAACATTCAGTTATTAAAAAAGCATTGTAATTTCAACCCCAACAAGGTTTGTTTTGTTACAAGCGAAAAGACAGTTTTATAATCTGTAAAGTTATATGCTGTAGCATAAAGTGTCACATATGTAACATTAAGTGTTTCATTTTTAAGCTATGGCACAAATACATATTAGCCATAACAGTCTCGTCTGGCTACCTGTAGCCTAATTTTTGGCTAATCAGTTTTTCTTTTGATAGAATGAAGTAAAAGCTTCTGAAAAGTAAAATGGATACATGAAGTAGTATTCAAGAATCCTTAGAAAATATTAACGTTCCCTTATATAATACAGCATAAATAATTATTGAAGGTTTTCTTGATGTCCAGAGAAAGTTAGGGATCCTAACCATCCATGGAGAATTAGCGCCATTAATTTGGTAAATAAGACCAGCTGACTCATTTGTTACACAGTACCTTCTCAAAAGCTTGAACACTTCCCAGAAGGATTCAGATATGTACTGGCTCTAGGAGAATATAAACAGTCCACCAGTGCTGAAGTTATGTTTCTTCCTTTCTGAGAGTCCTTACTCAACAGTTCTAGTGAGTCTTTGTGCTTTGAATAAAACATGAGCTCCAGTGGAGAAAGCTGGCTTGTGCACATTTTCCATTATCTTCAAAGTTCATTGTGTGAGTTTTTCTCTGCAGCTTTGAACATCAGAATGGAATTAAAGATTTTTAGGGCTGGTCCCAGTTTAATGCTCATTATTTTCACTATGTCTGATTGGGTCATTAGCAGAAATGCTTCTCCATCAATTTGCTTTAAAAGAAAAACACAAAGCTATTAATAGGTCTGACAGTGCAGCAGTATAGATGTTTCAGAAAACATGAAAGGTCCCAGCAATTTCAGACAATGTAAAGGACTGGCTGAATACAAACACTTTCAAATGCTTTGAAGAGAGCTTTGACTTCAACCTTTTAGGCAGATCAGCTAGTCCAAAAGAACAGGATGATCTTCTTTCTGCTTGAAAACAACCGTCTGGCTAATTTTTAGCTAAACAGTTCTTATTTTCATACTGACAGTACAAAAGCTATTGGAAAGTAAAGTGGGTAAATGAAGTATAATTCAACTGAACCGAAGCACAGCACTGCTTTTTAACCTCTTAGCTATTCCTTTTATGCAAGCCTCCATAGAGAAAGCTTCTGGATTTCACTCTCAGCTCCAGAGCAGGAACCCCCTTAAGGCCACCACTTTCTGTTCATTAAACAGTAAGTTAAAATGAATTTTGATCCCACATGAAAACAGGGGCCAGGCTACATAAAACTGCCTCTTTGACACAAACACAATAGAACTTTTCAAAACGTGGAATATTTTTTTTCTGCCAGCTTTGTAGTGTTGCTATTTTAGTAAACATTAAAAGTGAACATTCTCCTGTAAGCAAATCACTCTGTCAGCAGGAGTGATAAATCTGAGCATGAAGAACCCCAAGGTTCTCCCTTCCAAGGGCTTCAATGGGGCCAACATTTTCCGTGTAAACTTCAGGTCACTTAGGTACCTACAGGTAAATTTTCAGTAGAACCTAAGCTGGATAGCTATACATAAAAGGCAACTGTGGTTAAACCAGATGTACTGCTTCGGCTTAAAAATGTCAATCTGAGATAAAAACAGTGTAAGTTTCTGTAGGACTAGAAACCAAACTTTCTGAATGAGACACACTGCAAAGGAAACCTGCAAGGTACACCACAGCACTGTAAGTTGGGGAACACTGCAGTCAGAACAGCATCACGTGGTCACTACAATTACTTTCTACTCATTTTGTACACAAAGCCAGACTTGGTGGGCTGAGAACCTGACGTGTGTGAACCTGGAGATGCTGATAAAAAGATGCAGCATCTTAAAATAAGCAGGACGAGGGTTCATTTCCATAGCAGAAGTTTGAGCCAGCATCTTCTACCTCCTGAAACACCTACTGATGTCAGCCAGTCCATGCCAGTTGATCTCAGTGGGGGAGGTTTAATTTACTAATCACAGAGGAAGCCCGAGAGGCCAAATTCTGAAGAGGGGAAGCATTTTCTTACATCTCTGAGAACATAAGTGTTAAGGATTCATCCATCTCCATGGCAC